AAGCATGAAAAAGCTGTTAAGTGGGGAAATCTCACATCCATAAATAATAAAAAAAAAACATGTGAGTTAATAAAGAAAGACATGACCTTCTCCACGTGATCTTGAGCTAATAAATGAGTTTGATATGCCCTCCCTTTGTGTAGGTTTGAACTGCCACTAAATTTTGGGTTTCCCAAAATTGATGTCTGGGTTTGATGCCATATAAAAATTTGGGTGAATAAGTATTAGCATAGATTTTTTATTTAACATAAAATCAATTAATAATAAATAAAATAATTTTATTTATATTTAACTCGACTACTTTTTTATTGTTTTATCAATGTAGGATTTTTTCACTTACATCATCGCCATTGCCAGCCACAACCTAGATGTATATGTCAATCCTTTAGCTAGGGGATTAGAAAAGTGTGTTTATTTTATCAATGTCATTAACTTTATATTGGAGTAATTTTTACCTATTTAATTTACTCTTTAAATATTTTTTATTATTAATAAAACATGAAATGTCAACTAAAACTTAATGAAAAAATAAAAAAAAGATGATGAAATGAAAAAAAAAAGTTGAAATTTCAAATTTTAGGAACTAAGAAAAGAATTTATCTAATTCAAAAACTAAAATTTTATATACCAAAATTGAGGGACTAAAATTGAAGCCTAAGCTATTAAAATGAGCTACATGCTAGAACCAACCGGTCCAATCTGAATTTTAAAACTAGCTGAAAACAAAAAATAATAAAAAAATAATTTTTATTAGTCCAACCTGTTAATAAAATGTATATGTTTAAATACAATCTTGCCATCATCGTGAAACAGAAAATAAGTGGGCCGATCCATTGTATTGTATTCTGAAAGGGTGTACCATTTTGCTGGGCGAGCCCAAAAAAAGCCTATCATTTTGCGAAAATGTGTTTTATAAATACGAAAAATTTAATAAAATATTTTTAATAAAATTATTTTTTAATATTTTATTAATAATATTTTAATAATTTTATAAATTACACTGCACAATCCCAACTTACAAAACACATGAATCCCATCATTTTATTTTTTTAAGACAAAATCCCATCATTTTATTTTAA